AGATAGGGTTAACAAATGGAAATCAAATTGTCCTCTTATTAATTTTTACTTTAGTAAATCAGTAAAATTATTGTCCTTAATTAACTTAAATGAGTGCCAAAGTCAACTTCAGAAACCATCCACAAAATAATGTAGTTTCATTTATAGTCTGCTCTTTTTTCACATGAAATGTGGTGAAAATTTCAAATTTTTGATCAAAAGCTAAAAGTATTGTCAAATTTTGTCTGTTTGGTTCAATTTAGTAAAATTGTAATTTAGTAAAAATTACAGAAAATTTATCCAAGTTTGAGCGGGAAAACATTTGGTACTGAAAGGTAAACAGTGCATGACTACCAAAAAAGTCTGTCTGCATACTGGTGAGAGACTAATATCTCTCTTTGCAATACGCAGTATTATATATATTAACAATATCTAAAAATTATCTCTGGATTGTTACTCTGTGTGTCATTGGTATTTAATACAGTTGTCAAAATATACATGTATCACATGGTGTGGATCAACTACCATAGAATATTATTGCAGCTAAAACAATACAAACACATATACATCATAGTTGCTTATATGATAAAGATATTTATTAAGGTACATGTAGCACCAGAAAAAACAGTTAAACGGATATGAGATTCAGACATTCTCTAAAATTCTAAAAATTAAAAGTATTTTACTATATTGAGCTACACTTCATCTGTGTAGGTGAATAAAGAATATGCCATTTAATGTTTATATCTAGGGGATTACATGATGGCCTATTTCACTATTATGCTTTTTCAACCATTGTGACTATTGAAAATTATTGAATTTTAATAACACTGTAGGCTAGATGATCATACCCCATTTTTTTTTCTACAACCAAAAAACATGCCCGTCATGATCTTGGATTACATCAGCAAATATTGTTTATCTGGAAGTACTTTTTGAACACTTAACCCATGGAATGCTTATATTTAGGTACCATATGTGATAAAATCATGTGATTAAATTTTGCAGGAAATAGTGCTGTATTTTGACATTATTATAGACATGCCATTTATCTGCTGTCTGTTTAATGTGATCCATGTGTTGTTAACATGTGATCCATGTGTTGTTAATATGTGATCCATGTGCTGTTAACATCTGATCCATGTGCTGTTAACATCTGATCCACGTGCTTTTTATATGTGATCTATGTGTTGTTAACATGTGATCCGTGTGCTGTTAACATCTGATCCACGTGCTTTTTATATGTGATCTATGTGCTGTTTACATGTGATCCATGAGCTGTTAACATCTGATCCATGTGCTGTTAACATCTGATCCATGTGCTGTTAACATCTGATCCATGTGCAGTTTACATGTAATCTATATGCCGTTTACATGTGGTCTATGTGCTGTTTACATGTGATCTATATGCCGTTTACATGTGATCTATA